GAGCTTAACCTTAATTCTCGAAATTTACATAAATTAAGCGGTTACCGTTGATGATAGTATTAGTACCGTTAATTGGGAGCTAGAGGAAATGAGATTGAATATATATATATATATATGCTTCACTTGAACGGGACATTCATAATTCCCTCAAACTTCGAGATTGAATCTGAGATTCTTCATGCCATGAATTCAAGCCGATATACCTGCCCAACACGGCGATGAATTCTATATATTCATGAAATCAAGACCACTCTTTTAAAACTAATCTAAACAAAGATGTTCAACTGTTTCTGACATAGAAAATCCACTTCAGTTATTAAATATAACAGAGTATGCGCAAAAAAATATAGCAGTAATGATGACAAGTCAAAGTGCCATAGTGCGTCCAATTCAAGCCATCAATTCATGCACGGGCAATTAATTAAGCTAATCAACAGGAATTCCTAGATAATAGACATGCAATAAAGCATTTTACCCTTTCTTTCTCTGTTCGTTTCTGAGAGGGAGAGTAAAGTAGACCCCCGTTTAGTAATTGTTGGTCTTGCCACCTGTACGCTAAAATGAGGAATGTGGAGGGCAGAGTAAACCTTAAAGTGTTCCTCTATAACACAAGATTCAAACTGTTAATGATGAAAAACTCACTTAGATGTCATGATTTAACCAACTTTACTGATTCAAAAGTAAAACAAAATAATGAGACTAAACAACTTTATTATTTGATGGTTGTGGGGAACAAAATCAATTCCAAAACAGGTGAATAATCATGAAGTTTCACTGATAGAGATGGGACACCAAAACACACAAACCCCTCACATTTTATCTTAAAGTCTTGAAGCCTGTGAGGCCTGAATATAGGAATACCATGAAATAAATCTAAAATCTAAACTATTAGTTAGATACAGACTATACTTCTAACATGTCTGGAGGGGTATTTTATCTATGCCATTAGGAAGAGGAAAAAACCAAGTAAAATTAACGACAGTTTCATTTTCCCCCAGAAAAATTGCAAGGATCTATATAACATTTATATATTTAATTTTTTTTTTTGTTTATTTGTTTCCCTTTCTGGAAAAAACCAAATACTTCTGTTTAGACAGTAAATAAACATAAATTGCAAGAACCCTTCAATTAAAATGTTGAAAGTATGATACATTGTTTTGTAATCTCAGTAGGCCAAATTGATTGTGTAATTTTGTCCATTTTAACTTGCTGGGAAAAAGTCTTACACATTGCCAAGAAAAAATAAGGCATAAAATTTCAAAATCATGTCAATAGCCTGCCTAGAGTAGTTGATGGCAGGGGAAAGACTGCCTAGAGTATTCCCTTCCCCAGACACTCACGAAGTGGGTATTTGAACTGGGTCGGCCCTTTATGTCAATAGCCCTGCAGATAGTCAATTTTGGATAGTATAAAGAACCGATTCAACCCAAAAACTTAAGCTGTTGGGTGAGGCTACATTAATGATTTTATATATCTCAACATGCCCCCTCACATGAGAGTCCATTGGGCTTGAAGGGTGGACAATGCACAGACCCACCTATCTGAGCTAAGAGAAATTCCTCAAGAGAAAGTGGAGGGCGGTGAGAATCGAACCCGGGACACGAGGCTCTGATATCATATAAAGAACCAATTCAACCCAAAAGCTTAAGCTGTTGGGTGAGGCTACATGATTTTATATATCTCAACAGATAGAAATAATAATCATAATCACCTTTAATTTTGCTATGATTTGTTGCTCTAGACCATAGAACAACTAAGTGAGCAATTTCATTAAAGCCATAATTATACTGCGGAGATTAGAATTGCAACTGTGAGAGAATCTAGAATTGACTAATTATAGTGCTAAACTGAACTGAATAAGATCTGAAGTTAATGAAGCTGACATGAGGTTATCAAAGATGATTAGGATATCTACCAAATTTCACACAGCCAAAAGCGGTTAAAATTTGCAGTAGATGTGGCATGAAAACGACATGCATGTTCGCTTTTGAAATGTATAAATGTAAAATCGTCAGCAATCAAACTATTACACACTCACTGATAACACACTGTCTCCCTTTTAGGATAACTAAATTGATCTAGTGATTTTGATATCACTATCGTTTTCATAGTTGTTTTTAAACATGTTCAAAGATTCTGGTTAGGACTTAGGATAGTGAATTCCTTTAAATGAAGCAACACAGAAATAGAAACTGGAACTGGGCTTTATTCTTTAACACTTAAAAGAAAAAGATAAAAAATTATTCTTCTACTGCTCGAAGCAAACACTATTTTTTTCTCTGAAAAAAAAAATTGAATGTCTGTATGAAACAAACATAGTGAATTTAGGACTTGTTTGAATGTATTATAAAAAAGAAAAACTTTTACGTATTGTTTTTATAAAAAGAATTTTTTTCAAAAGTTAAAAGTATTTTGTATTTGGACCAATGTCTAAAAAATATTTTTAAATAAAAAATAATATTTTGACCTTTTTAAAAATTAAAAATCTCGGCTTCCAAAATATATCATTTAGCTTTTATTCTGATTTTTATTTTTTTTCAAAAACTATATCCAAAACAAACACAAATAAAACTAAGGGTTTGTTTTTTTTTAAAGTTACTTTAGATAACTTTATCTAATGTTAATCAAAACGACGTTGTTTTTAGACAAAAATCATAATGTTTTTGTAATTTTAATTTATTTCAACGTTATAATATTATTTATCATTCTAATTTTTTAATTTTTTAACCCAAAACGGCGTCGTTTGGATAAATATTAGACAAAATTATCTAAAGTAATATTAGATACTTTTTCTTCTAAAACGAAAGGCATTGTCTACCCAAAAAAAAACGAAAGGCATTTTTATTGTGATAAAAAAAAAACAATTTCTTGGAGAAAAAATGTATGCGTAACTGTGATAAATTGAAATGAATGATTGTAGGACATGCTAAACTCCGCTGGGACCATGATATTATCGAGAAGATGCTATGAATTTCTGAAAATTATGTAGTTTGATCCACTAGTGGGGGAGGAAAAATATGAAACAAAGCGTGAGAGCCAGAGGTAAAGTTCGCAGAAAAGAGGAGCTGCAAAAATGAACCTTGAAAGACCCTTCACCCTTGGATATACAAATGGACCCTTACATAAATCATTAGAAGATCCACTCGATCTTATTCAGTGTCCATTCACTCTAAAAGCAACAATGCCCAACAAATTAAAAAGATATCATTCTTCGCCCAAAATTGTTAGAAAAATAATGTTTAAAATAATTTAGAGAGTATAATATTTGTTAGAACCCAAAATGGGTTGGCCAGTTGGCTTAGTGGTGGTTGACTAGGCTCAGGACGTACTATTTTTAATGAAGTGTGAAATGTTTGAATTGTGGAGGCATTCATTTGAGAAGGGCTTTACCGTAAACAATCTCTCCCTCCAGAGTGATTATATACTATGCCACCATTTTAGTTACTGCAAGAAAAAAAAAATCTCTGTATCAGAGATTATTTCAACAACAAATGCAATTCCACGAGATACAGGGAAGGAAATCAAATCATGCAATAATATGAAGTTAAAGTGCACTGCATGGAAATATATGAATGAAAAAGAAAAATCTGAGCCCAGTGTTTCACACTGTCCTTAAGACAATTTTACTTTTTTTATAGTGCCCAATATTTGTAGACAATTATCTTTCAGGATAAAATAGATTATCTCTGTTACCATAAAAAAAATAAAAATAGATTATCTCTATTTTTGTAGCGACACTTCCACATAAAATAGCCTCATCAAACTTAAACTATGTTTGACTAATCGCATTAGAGCAGAAGAAAAAAAAAATATGTACAAATATTCATCTCTTAAAATTCTGATTCTTTTTTTGTAAAAACGTAAAGTCACGATTTAAATAACACTCATGATGAAACAACGCATACGCGACAAAATGACACATCTTTTAAAATTAAAGTTTTATTCATAAAATAAATTTAAAATTTAATTCCCAAAAAAATTCCATCCTACACTGCAACAAGAACCATATTTGGATTCCTTAAGGTATATACTTCTTGGCAAAATATGAAAATAATTATTAAAATGTGAATATTATTTACATACTATTCCTAAAGGTAAAACAAATAAGAAATATTAAATTATACGTAAATCAAATAAATATTTCGTAAATTTTAAAAAATCATTTAAATAATTTTAATATAACATACTTATCTAATATTACCGTTCAAATATTTAACTAAGAGTAACAAAGGATGCATACATTTTAAATCAATTGTTAATCTGATTTAGTCAATATTCGATTTCATTATGTGAACGCAAGTGGCGAAATGGTTTAAAAATCCACTTTTATTAAATAAATAAAAAATAAAAAATTCACCTTCTGTCAAATGTCCGTTTGAACACATCCTGAATCTAAAACAAATCAAGCTTTAAATACTTGATCACATAAAGTTAATCACAGACTAATTAAACCAACTAATTTAATTATTAAAAATGATATAACTAACCTATTTATTTAACTAATTAATTATTTTTCCATGTCATATCACTCGATAGATTACCCCCCCTAAGAATAGGATAAAATCCACCGTAACAAAGTATCTCCACGGGTGACAGTTACTTTAATAGTCAAGAGTAAAAAAAAAAAAAAAATCCCATTCGGTACATAAGATATGAAAGGGATTCTGAAGAGAAATGTCAGATTCTTCATTCACGTAGTCAAGTAATCCCTGCTAATTTTATTGCTGTAGCAATGCAGGATAAGTTGGTTTGTTTTAATCTAATTAAATCAAAGGATTTTTTTTTTCAAATACTTGTGTCAGAATTGAGAGCAATGTCAGTGCATGAAATTACAATCTTTGAAAAAAGGGTTCTAGCCAGTTGTCTAAAAAGCCGTGCCTTTTGACAAACCTCCCCTTACATTTCAGATAAGAGACTGATTCTGCAATCTAGAAATGCAAATTGCAGAGGTCATGATCTTAGAAGAAAGAGCCAGAAAAGATACATAATATCACAGATTACAACATGGTTGGCTATACATAGAACATTGTCCAATGGGTCACTTAGAAGATATCTAGGACCTAGATAGGAGCTAAATTAAAGCACTAGTACTATTAGAGACTGCGATTGTTGAAGAAAATTAGTAAAATTAGCAGAATAAGAATGTGAACCAGCAAAATGCTCAAAATGTTTATGAATCAATGAGCTTGTTGTGGAATAACAGAGCAGAGCTCAATAGACCCATAATGAAGAAGCTCCTCTATCATTTGCTCTATATGTTGTTCTTCTATCATTTGCTCTATATGATCTTCTTCAAGAGGCTTGAATTGCTGATCACTTTCCAGTTTAACCTTCTTGAAAACCCAATTCCCCTCTGATTCTTTCTCCTCCTGTTGTCTCTTTTGTGGCAACATTATATCAGTCTCGCTACTTTTCATGGGAAAGTTGCTTGTTGAGATCACATTTGGTGAAGTAATTCTCTGAGGCTCTGGAAGTGATGGCCTAGTCATTTGCAACGAAGCCATATAACACCTATGAAGTTTAGCGGTCAAAGTTGCTGAAAGAAGCTTCGAAGATGAAGATTGAGACCCATTGGGGTTGTAAGGGAAGTTTGTTCTTGCTCTTGTACCACCCATTAGCCTCGCTGCTTCATCATAGGCTCTAGCAGCATCCTCAGCAGTTTCAAAAGTACCAAGCCATATCCTAGTTTTCCTGCACAAAAAAGGAAACGTTTTTTTTTTCTTTTGCATTTAATACCCTGAAATGAAGGTGCTTCTAAAGACAAGTGAAATGTGCATGGGAATGAAAACAAAAGGTGCACTTACAATATAGGGTGCCGAATTTCAGAGACCCAAGAGCCCCAATGCCTTTGTCGGACACCTCGGTATCGCTGTTGTGGTCTGGCCATGTTAGGGAAAAGAAACGTTTCTTTTCAGAAAGTGTTGGCGAAAATGTTGAGTGATAGAGAATTGTGGTACCAACTGAAGTAGGAGGAGGTGGAGGAGTGGTGGGTTTATGTAGTTGGGCTTGTTCCAAATGTAGCACTTTTTCTAAACAATCTGGCACCAATTTAATCACAGTGGGGGTCCCACATGGGGATTTTGAGGTCTTACCTTCTTTTTCTTTACCTATCAGCTATAACTTGGCTGTATTGCAATTTGCAAGTCATGATTATTGAATTAGTGTTTCAAGAAACAATTCACATGTCTTTCAGTCTATGCTATGTACTATTGTTTCAAATATATGTATATAGTCTATTGAATTATATATTTGTTAACATTATTATTTTATTTTTATAAAGATATTACAATTAGTTCATTGCTTTGCTACTAGTTCGATTCGGAGTGAATTTTGAGATTAAAATTTTAAATCCCTTCCAAAGATAATACTGAACAAGATCGAATATATGCTTTCATTTCATCTGCTCAATTTCCTGAACTACCATCATTTGATTATTAACTTCATTATTATCTGTTTCTTTATTACCCTTTTTGGACGCCAAGAAAATTCTAAAATTTAAGATCATAGTCTATAGATTATTCTCATGTGAGTACTGATCGATAGGGAGCAAATTGTAGATAATGACTAGTTTGTAGTCCCCTCTTGCGTGATGTTTGAACTACAAGATCTTTGAACATATCATTCTCAAATGCATATTAAGCCCCAATTGCAGTAATGATTTATCTTTTTTAATATCAATTTGAGCTTCTGTGTCATATTTTAGCAGATACGATCCCATTTCAGACCTTGGTCGCGACCAAGATAACGATCATATGTTGCAATTATTTGTTGGTGGGATCAGTCTTGCCACAAGACAAACATCGATAAATACTGTTTACCATTGCATTTTCTGTATCAATGTATTAGCATCAATTTTATAATTGGGTCAATCCCAAGTTGGGACACATCGGTTTAAGATCAAAGATTCTTGAACCATCATAATTACCCTAATACGTCAAATCATTTGATCAAATCTCCTTCACTATTATTATCATTTCACTAGCATATGAGAGCAACAAAATCCTCTCCTCTTTTCTTTATTTTCTGTTGGGGATGATGGGGGCCTAAATTGAAGGGTACTGGTCACGGAGAAAAAGTATCGGTACTTGGGTCTTGGGACAAGTTATAAACAATTCTATGTAGCTTTTTATTAAATAAAGTAGTTGAATTTTTCTAGTGGTGTCTGTCACGGAGCTTTTCTTCGCTCTCAAGCGTATGGTAGAAGTACAATACACACATAGTTGATCAGCAATGAAATTGAGAGTTCCCTTTTGTATCGATTTATTTTTGGATTATATTTATCTTATGTTGCATAATATAAATAAGTTTCTATACATACAAAGTGAAAGTGGATTTCATATCTATATTTTCTCTCTTCTCTTACATATGGATCCTTCTTATAATTTTATTTATATAACATGATATAATTATTTTTTTATAATATAAGATAAATATAACCTTTTATTTTTATTTTTAGGGTAGTTTGTTTACACGTAATTGATAGCTTAGTGCTTAGGATGCTTGAACGGGAAACAGTACGATATGGGGCATGGTATGAATAAGGACATCAGCAGCAGTATTTCACGACTTTGGTTGGTAACGGCCGATGTTCGTCTCTTAGTTACTGTTCACCCACGTGCCTAGAGTTCATTCACCATGTTATAGATTGTGCTAAATAAATTCAAATTTCCTTCAAGATATAAAACAATCTTTTTGTGGGGATAATTCTCAGAACGAAAAATAAAATATTAAAATTCCAAAAACCACTGGGTAAGTTAAACAAACACCACTCCTTTCTTTCTTTCTGCTGAAAATGCAGCAGTTACTTATGAGTGGTGACTATTGCATGCTTATTTATGTCTCATAAGGTACAGGAAAGATTCATTTTATTGTGTTTTACTACAAAATTTGTTTGTGTCATTCACAGAAGAACTGAAGGGGTAATTTTGGTCACTCTCACCCCATCTGTGATCAGGAGAGGAATTAGGGTGTTATGGTGCTCCCTTCTCATAAATGGGAAGGATAAAAAATGAAAAAGGAAAAAAAAATATGAATAAAAAAGAAAGAAAAAATTTTCTCCTGATAGGAACCACTAAATTTTTCAGTCGTGCTGCATCACTATACATTTTTTCATGTGATCAGTCCCATGTGCTAAACTACTGACGGCAAAAGACCTTATTTGAATAAAACAATGTGGGGACCACTCTGCAGAGGGTGATGTTCTTCTGTCTATGTGCCACGTGTAGCCAACAATTAAGAAGATGGTCAATTTTGTGCTGTTTTTTTCTTCATGAAGAATCACTTGTATTGAAGAATCTTTTTAGCTTAGTTTTATGTTGGCTTACGAAGCTATCTATGGATTGAAAGGTAAAACTATTCTGCTTTCTAAGTTTTGGTATAGTTTTGCTTTTTGTTTCTTCCTAAGCTGAAGCAAAAAAGAAGAACGTTAACAGTCAGTAAAAAGGAAAAGAAAAAATAAAGACAGGAAAAAAGAATAGAAAGGGAGACAAAAGAACAAGTAGCATGTATGTCATGGATTGAAAGATTAGGAGCTTTGTAAATATCCCTATCTATGTCTCTTATATTTTTTCTTTTTTCATTTTTGTTTTTCTTTAACGGGAGCTTTATTTTTGGCTTACAGCTAACATCAAATTAATATGCATAAAAGGTCAAGAAAGTGAAATGTGTATAATTGTATATACTGGTTAGGACCCACCCGTGCATACGCGTGAAATGGGTCCAAAAAGATAACATGGGTGATGGAAGCAAAAGCAGTGTTTATCTATTTAATTAATTTGTATTCGACGTATTTCTCTCCACGGTTGTTTGAGAAAAATCCTAAACCTCCCATGGTTTTGTTGCCCTCATCTTAATTCCATAACACCCATCATGCCCGTGTCATGTCTGGACTCTCTTTCTCCTCACGAAGCACACTGCTTCACATGCCAATTTGCATAATCCATTGAATTTAACTATAAAAATAACAAGGGTCAGCTGCGTGGCTTGGGGATAAGTACATAACATGGGAATTTCTCTAATAAATTGAGCAACTTTATGTCTTTTTCTTTATGTTGAGTCCTAACTTGAATATACACATGCATGCACATATGCGATATTCCTTTGTCAATTGTCTTTTCCTGGATTTGTTTATTTTCTTCCTAAGTTCCTATTGTTTGAGAAATATCTCTCTTACACACTCCGTTATGCAAATGGGAGGTGGTATTATGTAAAGAATCAAATTAACCAAAAAAACTTAAATCATTAATTGAAGGTCTACCAATAATTTTATATTATATCTCTCGTACATCTATTATTAATTGAATATACCATGGAGAAGGATTGTTATTGAAGACAATGGGTGATATTATATATCATTAATAGATTTGACGGTTCAAGTCGACCTAGACCACCGATTGACCAAGTATATCCGATAGGTTTTCACTAGAGAAGGTTCAAAGGTAACTCCACCTATCTCGATGCAGTTGTTTCTCGTTGAGGAAATTACATTTTGCATTTATATTCTTACGCATTCCAGTCACGATGAATTGACTTCTTATCCATGTGGGGGATTGTTGGAATTTATATATATAAATTGTGTAGACAATCTATTGGTTATGAATAAGAAGTTTGGTTGTGAAAATGTGTGTCTTTTCATCGACAAACAGGTGTATCTTTTCATCCTAACGGACATGTTGTTTCATCCTTGAATGGGTGTCTTTTCGTGTTGAAAGAATGTGTCTTTTCGTGTCCAACGGATGTGTTGTTTCGTCGTCGAATAGGTGCCTTTTGAAACGTGACCTTACGTTGTTTATAAATAGACACTGACACCTTCAGAAAATGAATCCAATTTTTCCTGCACTGAAACTCTGCCGGAATTTTTCTCCTTCCGGTTTTGCATATTCCTTTTCATACTCCAGTGTAGTTTCCTCTGGCATTTAGTTGTGTTCGTTTGGGCTGTTGACTGGTAGTGCCGCCACTCTTCAGACGAAATCAGCTCTATCCTGGGAGACAAATGTCCATCAACCTTTGACATCAGTGAGGGGACAAATTGTCTTAAGGAAACACGTTCTTGGGCTCGGATTTTATTCCTCTGATACTGCATTTTTTCATTCTTCTGATTCTGTCTGTTTCATACATATCAAGTAAGTCTGTTTTTAATATTTATAATTGTACAGTGATAATTCTAATCATCTACCTCCTCTACTTTATACATGAGTTCAAATCTATTAGTGATATATAATATCACTCATGGTCTTCAATAACAAGGTTTACCCGCCGGAGATATTTTTTTCCTTCAAAGTATTTATACAACTTATGAGTGTAATATATATTAACCTCCTTCAAGCATGAAGGAAACAATTAAGTTTTCCCACACGTGGCATCTCCAGCGCAAAACAATGCAACCCAACTCCTTTTAGGTGAAATTATTTTCTTGTACTTAATGCAAAATCAAAAGCTTCCATTTTTGACCAGTGGTATACATCTTTTACGTAGAAAGTAGACGGGATTGACAACTAATTCATGCCTATTACTTCAATGAAACAATTTTCATTTAAGAAATGAACAGCTGGAAATGAAACTCACATATTGCTCTGTTCTGAACATATAATTTGTTTCTTACTCACAATTTAATGGTCAAAGAGAATTTCTTCATGAGATCAAGCTTCTATGCATTAACATATATGCTTTTCTATCGTGAGTCTTGACGCGGTTTCGTTGCTAAGCAAGCAAGAAAATGAAGGCTGAGCCGTGAGGGTGAATTAAGAGATGATGTGACTCAGTCCCCACCCGCCCGCAGTCAATGGGTGCCATTTTGCATATCGGACACAATTTTTGAAGTATATTAAGGACCCCATGAATAGGGATATACAACTTCCATGTGCATGTTCCAATTTTGCCTCCACCATTAACGTGTATGTACACATATAATAGAATGCTGTTACTATAAAGAATG